TTTTGATCATTCTTGCTTTCCGTACAATTGACGTACAATTTTGCAGATAAATCCTGGCACTGCCACCGAAAGGTTATAACCCTACAGTTCTATCATTTTTCCTCAGGAAATTTTGAATGGGAGATGAGTGTTGCTATATCACCCCCATCAACGGGAAGTGTGGAGAACTATGCTCCCATCCAAAAGCTTTCAGGTAAAAGTAACTTATTATTCAGAATTGAAGTAAAGCAATAATCCAACTTTTCATCCTGAAAATGTTTATTCTGAGGCCCAACAAATTACAAAAACATTACCATTGCAAATTACTAGTTTTAGCCCAATTGTAAGGAAATGTACAAGAAATGAATTCCGTAATTGAATTCGGAAGTTTCAGGTCCGGAATTTTTAATGTTGAATCAAAATCGCAAGCATTGCAATGTTGATTTTGTTTGCAATCGCACAGAATTGCGTCACATCCAATTAAAAACCCTGGTCGTATTTCCTAGAATGGTCTAAAGTTTGCATTTGCAGTGGTTTTGTGTTTGAGACTTCTATAACTTGTGATACATATACCAAACCAGAGAAGAACATTTACGACAAAGATAAAAATTGAAACACAAATTTGGGAAGGAAATCAACATAATTTCATTCAAATCAAATTTGATTCGTAGCAAATGGAATATACAGTATCTGGTGCATGAACTCAAAAATAGAATCTTCAAACGTCTATTCAAGAAAGTTTTAGCACGTTTTCGGGTCATTCCAAGAAGTACGACGCGTTGTGTGGCCGGTTTTATGAGGCATGCTTCTTTTTAAAGACGGGAACGGTAATGAGACCACCTCATGCTCAATGATTATATTTTCGACTGCTGTAAAAGCTTATCAGCAGAGACTTGAAGTTCGTGCAGTCAGGGAAGTGTCAGACTCGAAAGCCAATTAAGCCCCCTCACCTACCTTGCACCATGAATCATTCATAAATTCCCATTGGATCTGCAACACTATAGAGACGGAACTCGCTCACAGTGTTCTGGTCTCTGACAGGTTCTGTCGGTGCATGACCACTTTTGCCGGATAATTGCCTATGACATTACGCTTTAAGACCTGATCCATCTGACCCCCACAATTTATGCAAGATTATGAAAATGGAAAAGTTATGAAAAGGTCACAAGTTAAATTTAAAACTGGAGATTGAGTGCTGCATTTGAGTGGCAGAAGATGATGCACTGGGTTTTCCATTAAAGATGTTAAGGACTTTCAGAAATTGAATTTGAATCAGTATCAAAAATAGCTTAGTCAATTATGCGAAGAATTTCTTCATATATTTTTTTGGAGAAGTCAAGGAAGCTGTGATGTTTACAATTTGTCAGCTTTTGGTATAATCAATGAGGCGTGTGCTGATTTTTTCTCTAGAATTTGACAAAACCACTTGCCCTGCTTTTTGTGATTGTACCGTACTAAGTTTATAACACTACAAGAGTAATTTCATGCCTCATGTCACATATTTGAGGAAATACACTACCTTGCATTTTGACCGTAATCTATTGCCAAGCTATAAGGTCAAATTGCAAAATGAAAAACACTCCATGAAATTGAAAAACGTAAGAACAAAAGTGCAAAAAAATGGTAACAGAAGGTCCAATTATGGGGCAAGGGTCAAATTGCAAGTCAACCTCCCCGCAAATTTGACCATCAAATAGCGGGGAAGTCAAATTGCAAGTCAACCTCAGTAGGTTCATGATCATGTATTTTTCAAGAGACCTGCCAGTTGTTGAGCATATGCTGTATATTATAGTTATTTTTGATCTTCCCAAAACCATTCCCCTCATTTTCCACAAAGTCTTGTTTTAACTTCTGAAACATCTGCCTTCACAGCAGATGACATCATATNATCAGACACGTGACAGACGATCATCTATCACGTGGACATGTGGAAGCTTTTTCGAGATATTTTCAAAAAAATTATGATCAAGAAGCATATATGGCCACGTATGGGCATATCATTTTTTTTAATGGGACGTTTACGGAAATTTCGGGGTTTCAAACCCTTGAGATATACTTTCGGATTGATGTTGACAGATGCGAAGCTCATCCATCACTGTTTTCTCCACCAGGCAATTCAATCAATCATTGCTCACCCAATTGAAAACGTCACGAACCAGATAACAGCAATGCTTGTCGCATACGTCACCCGTTCAACGCCGCCTGCAGTGCTGTTGGTTCGGGTTCCAGGTCTGTGAAAATTATAAAAGGACTGCCAGGTTAGCAGACATTTTTTTTAAACCACAGCACATGCAGTTACCTTATCATATTCAAACACACTCTACAGTGAGACCCAAACATGTGGAAGTACTTGGAGTATAAAGAGTGTCACCAAGTCGAAGTGTCCCTATAAGTTGAGTCTCATTTTCCCTTAGACTTACAAAACAATTTTTGGTGTTCTACAAACAAAATATTCATCCTAATTCCATTAAAATTAAAAAAAATTTCTCCCAATTCAAACTGATTTGATTAATATCTTTCAATTAACACAGTGTGGACATTGAGAGCATTGAATACTGATACCTCTGGATAGTACTGTGCATTGAAATGTCAGCCTTCTCTGTGGAGTGGAAATAACATGCAAGTCAAAAAGAGAGATTGAAGTTGTCCATCTATTTGCTGGAGGTAATTTTTTTTAATTATCTGAATGGATGGTAAATTGAAGAGAGGAATGCCAAGAAACTTTTCTTGAATATATTTTATAGTTGGGAATATCCGTTTCTTTCAATTAGGCCTGAAAATTATTTGCCATTGTAGTACACAATGTCCATGTGTCAATTTAGTTATGCCTTTTGCATGCCTTTTTTGGGAAAAAATTGTACCTATGTTGAATTTTCCAAATTTCCAGGTGTCTGCGCGTATAGGGGTCTCACTGTACATGAAGAACGTTTGTAGTCATCTGGAAAAGTTTTTAGTCAGGACGAGTACCCCAAGAAATGTTTAGTCAGGAGTACCCCAAGAAATGTTTAGTCAGGAGTACCCCAAGAAATGTTTAGTCAGGACTACCCTGATTGTGCTGAAGACTTATTTTATCTAAAGCGATAAAGAATTTAAAACATGCAACAAAAGCCACCAAAAGTTTTCCATCAGGTCACCCAAATCTTTCACAGAGTTTCCAAGTGAAAGAATGAAAAAATGACGCGAGCAAAGATTCATATCAATTTTGAGCAGACCAAATTGAAATGAAAATTGATTCGTGGTACTCACAAGGCAATGTCGAAAAGCAGAGCGAACGTGGGAATGAACGAGAATGCGAATCCAAAACCCATGAGCACAACAGCTGCGATGCTCAACCACACCGTTCTAAAAATTCAGAATCATTTATCTTGCTATGAAAACGAGAGACCAATTGGAGAATCAAACTAAATTCCTCAAATTTTATATTTTATGCGCGCCAGAATCCAAAGCTACTGTTCTTACGAACAGCCTCACGAACATGAGGATAGAATTTTCCTATCTAAACATTAGATTTTCGGACGTTTTCTGGCCTACGTTTTAGACACACAAAAAAAGCTAAATTCCCTCTTCATCGTGAGTAACAGGGATTATTAATTATGTTCGTGACAAATTTATTCATATCTTCATTTCACACGATGAAATTCTCGCATGCTGTTTTTCTCTCCAAGCTAAATTACAGTATTCAAGTAAGTACCATTTGCACCTTCTTTCGGAAAATGTTTGCAAAAACGTAGATGACGTGTGGAAAGAAGGAAGTCATCATTAGGGAGAAAAATCATAGGGGGGTTTGCTGTGGTATGTGAAAATTATGAACAGCTAGGAAACACTTTTGGGAAAAAAAAATGTTCCCAAAGGGCTTTTTGTTTCAAATCCATTTCAAGATTATTCCAATAAATATCGAAAAAGTTGAATGAAAAATCACGAAATATTAAATTTAAATTCACACCAACAAAAACTGGGTTATTGTTATTCTCGTCTATGAGGATGTCTTTTCTGCCGAATTTTTTTTAAATGTCTAAAAAAGGTACATTGGATGACATGTGTTACTTGAGGGATTTTTATTCTTCAGTGAATAGAGTATTTACCCATGAATAGTGTTGCATTAGTTTCCCTTTTTTAGGAAGTTGGGTTACACAGATTTATCTGGATATACACCATACTTCAAGTCAAACATGAGTACTGTAACTCCAAACTTTCTTTTCACATTGCACGTGTGTCTCCAGATAATTTTCTTCAGACCAATAAATTTAAACCTCTAATTAACTCAAAATGTATTCACATCACCTTTATTATTTGAATCAAAGAAATTATCTTCCAGAAACCAAAGGAAACAAACGCAGACTAATTCCTCAATGCTATTTTGAGGCACCCCAGCCCAGTAAGCAAGAAGTTGTCCAAAAAATGTCTGGAACTCATCCACATGAGTTCCACAGACATTATTGGAGAACTTGTCTGAAAATTTGTGCTCTGGTGGACAAGTGTGGATAATTTTTCCACCAGAGTATGGTTCTTTTGTGCACATGTTGGAGAACTTCCCTGCTAGCTTTGGGCACCAGTGTCTGGCGGACAAGTTCTCCAAACCTGTCTGCATTATCCAAAAAATCTGGACAAGTTTGGAGAACTTTTCTGCCAGTTTCTGGTGCTAGTTTCTGGCGCCAGTGTCTAGCAGAAAAGTTTGGGGAAATTGTGGATTTAGCTTGTGACTTTTCTCCACAAGCTAAATTCACATTAACCAAGTTATCTTCCCAGCAAAGAATGGGGGCATTGGGCTGGCAGACATTTTGACTATGGCATTGGCAATGTCATTTTAGTGCCATTGTCAGAATGGTGAGGGTTGCAGCCAATGCCCTTTTGTTATTGTCATTGGGGAAACACAATCTGAAGCCATTGGCAATGCCATTCTCCCAATGTTGGAAAAAAGGCATTCTTGAATTGGCATTGACCACACATTGCCAATGTGTATTCAAAATGTTATTCCAATGTTAGGGGGCAAGGCATTGAGTGGCAACCAAGTTGACATTGCCACAACATTCTTTCCTTAATGGTATGGCAACACATTAGAAGCACAATTTAGAATGTCCCAATTCTTTGCTGGGTTACTATAGCTATTGGACTAAGGGGTCAGACATCCATGTGGAAGTTCCTGGGTTCAATTCCAGCAGAGGTAGGGTATTCTTTGATAGGTTAAATAGGATAGCACTTTAACTAGGTAGGCTTGAAACATATAGGCAAAAATAGCTGTAATGGTTATGCTAAATATGTAGATTCCTTACTCAAAAAGTTGAATATAATAGGAGGTTCAATGCAATGCATCAAGAAAAATAGTCAAATAAATTCAAAATATATGCAATATGTTTAAGAAAAATACAGAAGCTTACACCCTGAATATTGGGCGGGGTGGGAAATTTTTTTTCCACAATTACGCTAAATTTTGGGGGAAAAGTACAAAACTTGGAGAGAACTGGGACAAATTTTGATAAAAATTGGACAATGTGCCTGATTTGTATTCAAAAGTTGTCCCAGTTCCCTCCAAAACGTTTGCAGTTCTGATCCAAAAGTCATGCAAAAGCAGTTGTCTTTTGGATGAGTTCTGGATAAAAATTGGACAAGTTGTCATTTTTTTGTCCTAAAGTTATCCAAGCCAACTGGTCCAAATGTTGTTGAATTTTCGCAAGATTCTGGGATGAGTTGGTTTGGATAGCTTTAAGACAAAAAATGGACATTTTTGTGCTTTGGGCCAAGGATTTCCTGCATGTAGGAATTCATCAATGATGAAAATTTTCAATAAATAAGCAAGAAAAAAGTTTTGTTAAATGGTGCACTCAACTTGCCTGAATTCCTTGATTCGAAAAACCCCCACAGTCAAATTCTCAGAGTCTCTTCGAATTTGACTCAGAGAGGTAATACTCCACAGCTAATTCCAAGATTTATTTGAATGAATTGGACAAAAAGGATTTTCACTATGTCAGGAAGGAAGATTCGAAGATGACGATGGAGTGACCTACTTGTTCATGGCGAGCATTGGAGCCGGACCAATGAGGATGAATCCGATGGCTTGAACAGCTAATCCAAAAGCGCAGATGAGCACTCTGTTCCTGCTGCCCGTCGTGTCCACTAATTTCTTGACAAAGAAGCCGAAGCATAAAAATGTGGCGGCTGAGATCAGGAAGAACAAGCCCACGTTCCCGTGATCCGTAAGCATCTATTAATTAACCAAAACCGGGACTCCTCGTTATTGATCTTTCAGGACGACACCATGAGGAGGAGGAGGAAACCGATACCCGTGAAGGGTTTCGACTCATCAAGGCTCAAACTGTATCCTTGAAGAAAAAAAAAGCCACTCAAATAGGTGATGTCCGCAATGGGATTATAGTTCCTCAAGAACCTTGTTTGCTACTTCTCCCGTTGCCACAGAGACACGGATTTAAAAATATGATTGATGCCTGTGGGTCGAACGACTCTGAAAAAGTTATCAAACTGTCGTCGAGTCCTCAAATCTCGCAAGGAATTTCCTTTTATTCTGGAGCCTCCATTGCTGTTCAACTGCATATTTAATTCAATCTTATCCGCCATCCAAGTACAATACAGTATCAAATATGAGAAACATGAAGCTTCCGCACGTCCCCTGACCACAAAACTTATTTTTCCGCACACACGGAAACGCGAACGTTGGTAAGTAAAATGTTGAGCTTATCTACGAGAATCAGCATGATCAGGGCCAATTGTGTTACAGTAAAGAGGCAAAATTAAGTAACCCAATTAAAAAAAAAACTTCGGAAAGGAACAACTTTTAAAAAAAACCTCGAAAGCACCGTACAGCACTAACTAGGGTCGTCTTTTTTCCCTTAATGCTGTCACAACTGGCAAGGTTTGAAAGACATTTTCAGCCACAGTTTTTTTTTTCAGAACGCTCGTGGAGTTTGTAGTCATATTAATGACCACAACACCCTTCACTTTACGC